CAGAGATATTCAAACACGGTCATTCGAAATAGAATTGCCAGTTTTCGGGGGTGTAAGAAGGAACCGAACTCCATACACCGACGCTTGTTCCTGCCCCGCACTGAAACTCGCACAGGATATGCGGATCCTGGCGTATACGGGATCCTGGTGCGTACGTGTTTCGTTGTTCCCCGAGCCCCGAGGACAGCGGAAGAGCAGGTATACACCACACCACCCCGACGTCGCCCCCGACCCTCAAACAGCCCGCCACTGGCAGGAGAGCCCCATCCTCACAGCGCGCTCAGACGCGAGGGTCCCACTCGACCTTCCGCGAGGTTCCGGATGCTAGGTGTTTCGAGGACCCTCCTCCTCCTCCTCCTCCCTCCTCCTCCTCCTCCTCCTCCTCCCCCTCCCCCCCTCCTCCTCTCCTCCCTCTCCTCCTCCTCTCCCCCTCCCCCTCTCCTCCTCTGCTGCTGCTGCTGCTGCTCCTCCTCTCCTCCTCCTCCCTCCTCCTCCTCCTCCCTCCTCCTCCCTCTCCCCCCCCCCTCCCCCTCCCCTCCCCCTCCCCCTCCCCCTCCCCCTCCTCCTCCTCCTCCTCCTCCTCCTCTTCCTCCTCCTCCTCCTCCTTCTCTTCCGCCTCCTTCTTCAACAGCCCGCCACTGGCAATGTACCTGTGCTCCAGTTCCCGTTTGAAGCAGCGCCGCAGAGGACGCGGAGCACGCTGCAGCCGCGGGGGCTGGCCCGTGGTCGCTGGCAGGGCCGGCCCGCAGCCTCGTGCAGGCCTGCTGGTCGTGGCTCGGCGTTTCGGCTACATGGGAGGGGGAGGAGGAGGAGGAGGAGGAGGAGGAGGAGGAGGAGGAGGAGGAGGAGGAGGAGCAGGAGGTGGAGCAGGAGCAGGAGGAGGAGGAGGAGGAGGAGGAGGAGGAGGAGGAGGAGGAGGAGGAGGAGGAGGAGGAGGAGCAGGAGGAGCAGGAGGAGGAGGAGGAGGAGGAGTTGCCTGCGCGTTTCCGGCCAGGTGCTCGTGCCCAGGCTCGGGCCTCCTTGTGCGCCGCGGGCATCGTGGGCCAGCTTTCCGCGCAGGCAAGGCAGTCCCTCCAGACAGTCCCGGCTGGCCTCAACAGGTCCTCCGAGCAGTCCCAGCTGGCCTCATCAGTCTCGTTTTCCTGGATGTCAGAGAAGAACAAGGTATGGATACCGCTACCCGTCGTCCGTTTTCCCCTTTCTGCGCCTCTTGGCAGGCTCTCGTCGCCAGCGCTGGATTCGCCTCGAAATTCTGGTCAGGGTGCACTAAGGGAGAGGTCCGGGGAGTAGCGGTATCGGTACCTTCTGGTTTCCCCAGGATGGGGTTGGAGTAGATGGGGTCGGGTTATCGCGCCGCTTTGCTGCTGCATCGGCGATGCGGCTCGATACGGAGCCTGATTTTCTCCACGCGGACGTCGCCGATGCATCGCCGACGTCGCCAGTGCATCGGCGATGCATCCCCAATGCATCGCCGATGCATCGCCGATGCGCGATCTTCTGATCCCATCTTCGGCAGGTTCGCGTCGTGTCGACCAGCGGCGACCCCACCGCGTGCGTTTAAGGTTGAACGCCGCCCTTGGCCCAGAATCGGCCCGTCGTTGAACGATCCGGCGTTCACGGAACGGCCGATCGTTCAAGCTTGAACGATCCCCGCAGAGTCAGGAACCAACGCCGTGGTCGACACGACGCAAACTTGCCGTACTCCGACCCCACCTAGGCTCAAAACAGGGTCTTCGAGTATCAGGCCGAACGAAAGGGGGGGATAGGGAAAGGGGGGGTACGAGATCTGCTGCATGTAGCTGGTTTCGGCCCCACCGCCGGGCCCGTTCCTCGATACATGGGCGCCTCCCGGCGCCGGGAGGCGGTGGGAAAATCAGCTGCGTGCGCTACCCTTTGCTATCCCCCCCTGCTATCCCCCCTTTCGTTCCCCCCGAGAGTAGTCTGTCACCACCCACCAAACCACCCCAACCCAACCCCGAAGGCTTCAATCTGCCCTGCATTTCCAGTGAGAGGGGGGTCGGGGAACATGGCAAAAACACATGGAACCCGTGCCCCCCCCAACCCGCAATTCGCGCCAAATTCGGGTCTTCGGGTTGGGCTGGGGTGGTTTGGTAGGTAGTCAATCTAGGCTCAAAACAGGCCCTTCGAGTAGTCTGGGGCGATCTCAACACCCCGGCGCCGCCTCCGGCGGCGCCCCCCGGGGGGTGGGTGGGCCTGCGGAGGCCGGCGGTGGCTTTATTTCTTGTCAGGAGGGGAAAAAAGCACACAGACACAATCCATCGTCGATTTCTCCAGGAAGACGTGGACAGTGGGGGGGAAGACGAAAATCCAGAAGATATGGAAAAATATGGGGAAACCTGGGATTAGTGTGTATTTGTTTGTGAGTCCCAGGGCTCCTTAAACTTGGGGGGCCTGGTGAGGCCAGCAAGAGACTGCCCGGGGGAGCTGTCTGTGCAGCCCGAAGCCTTCCCAACTATTCGCGTTGCTTGGTAAATTCATTTTTTTCCTGGACGGCGCGCGGATCTGTGCCTCCGCGACTTGAGCGTTGCAGGGACTTGTAAGTAAGGGGGACAAGGAAGAGGCCGCACGTAGTCATTTTGACGCAAGTTTCCAAACGTCTTGCAAACCGTACCGTACGGTGGCGATCCATGGCCGCTGCTACGCTGAGTACCATGATTTGGGCTGCGCTCCTGGCTATCTTGCAGCTGCTCTCGTGCTTCGGCGAGAACCGCCCCAGCATATGCATTTCTGGGATGAGAGCGAAGTCACGACGACAGTTTTTCACCAACAGCGATTGCACGAGCGAGGCGCGTACAAGTGTGTCGACTTGCTCGAAATTGCCAGCAGGTATCCACGAGGAGATCTTCATGCTTCTTCTGAAACAGAAATTTCAGTTGCTCGGGTCTGTTTGCCAGCAAGGCCACGGATTCCATCGATGATGAAGGAGATTTCAAAGGGAGGAGGGCCAGTTCAGACAAAAACGTCCTTCCCGCCCAGCCCAAAGCCGTTCAAAACCAGTCCCTGGACCCTTTTGGGGTCCATCCCAGCCCCTTTTTCGCCTGGCGACGAAGAACCTCCAGGAGAAATGCGAGGGCGAGGGATCATGAGGATGAGGAGGGGGATGAGGTGGAAAGGAGGAGGAGAACAGGATGATGATGAGGAGGAGGAGGAGGACGAGGAGGATTAAAGTGACAATGCCAGCCAGCGTGGACCCCCAACAATCTGTTTCTAGCAAGACAGGTGGTGGAATCGATGTGGGCACTATGTATGGTGTGCAATCTCCGTGGTGCAATATATGCGGTGCAATTGATTTCTGTTCGCGGTGAGTTGTCCACTCCACTGCTCGCACAAACATCCCACCCACCCGCCCGCAACTTAGTTTGCAAACCTCATGCGGCTGCGATTGCGATGAGTGCTTGGCGCTGGCTGGTGCATCTCTGCGGCCGCGCCAGCCCGCGCAAGCGCGCGCGCAGCGGCCAAATAGTTTGGCGCGACCGACGCGGCCGCGGTGGTGCTGACCGCTCGGCACATCCAGGCGGGCACTTGAGTGCGAGTCGGCGACTTGGGCGGGTGTGGCATCATGGCAACGTCGACAATTGTAGACACGATGATGATAGTAACGATGCTGGATACGATGTTGATAGCGACGACGGCACGGCCAGTGACGTCGCCGATGCCGATCACGCCGGCGACGATGACGGCGTCTTCGAGTCTGTGATGAAGGTTTTGAAAGGAATTCGGAATGCGCGCGCGGCAGACGCGCGAGAGGGGTTCGCATGGCATGATTTGACACGGATCGTGCCACCCCAGCGCGCGCGCAAGGGCGTTCGAGCGATTTCGACAGGGGCCCGCGCGAAGCCCGTTTGGTAGGATTTTCCGAACATTTTGAAACACATTTTTAAAGCGCAAGGGCGCGCGCGCACGCTTTTGTTGAAAATCCGTGTTGCGAAACCCTGTGTTTTTGTATGTTTTTG